AAAAAAAAAAAAAAAACCATCAAATTCAAAACATAAGAAAGACACTGGACGACTCATACGGCATTACTCCGGCTTCTCGGAATCGAGTTTAGCATATCACTTCAGAATATTTACAGTCGGCTCGAAAGACAAAAACAAACTTAAGATTGTCCTAAAACCACAGCGTTTCGAAAAGCTCTAGAATTTACTATTTCACATGTCTCTTTTGACCATTTTGAACAATTTAACCATACGTTTTGCGCAAAAATCAGAAAATGGGCAAAACGCGGAAAGGAAGATCCTGAGCATGCGCACAAACAAAAATTGAAGGGCTGAAGTAGATTAAAAAGATTCTAAATACAAAGCTTCTAGGATTAAAGCATTCAAAATGGAGACTTAAAGCTTATGTACAAAAAAGGAAAACGCAAAATATGCAATATTGTAATCAATAACTGCAATTCTGTCCAGTAAAAGTACAAAAAAACGAAATGAAGATCGGACGATGGCAATATAAAAGCTAGGGATGAGCAATGTCAATGGGAGGAAAGAAAATTTGAAAAATTGAGCTTCTTTGTACAAAATTATCGTTGTCTTATTTTTCGCTGCGCCTAAATGATATACAAATGTGTGTTTTCCCTGACGCCGCAGCACTGTCTTTTTCGACCGCTGAATGCTGCTTTTCAGTGGTTGCCGCTGCGGAATCGCTCTGAAAAAAAACATTAAAGAATTCCAAATTAACAACACTCCTGCATTCTACAAAACCTAAAATATTCTTCGAAATTCAGTCCCCGAATAGATGTGGAAATACACTCACCTTTACTGAACAGTACTGCCTCGTCCCTTTTCGTTTCCTCATCAGACAAAAAACACCACATACACCAGCCGACAACAAAATCAACGTGATAACGCAAGCAACCACTGCATACAATAAGCTTCGATCGACTACCGTCTCATCAACATCTTCACGTCTCTTATTCCAGTCTTCTTCCGCACCAATTTCAACCACTAATGTCGATGAAACACGAGAAAGCACTTCGCTACCTACTTTAAACTCGCATCCGTATACACCACTATCCGAAGCTCGCGCCTACAAATTTTATCACTGCTAAGAGAGTAAATAAACTGAAGAAATCTACAGTACAAACGCTGCAGCAAAGTGATATCTTTCACTATAACAGAGGCCCTAAGTTCACAATCCGACGGAGCTGAAGTGAGCTCTACATCAAATCACAGACTGAATGGATGAGAGAGAAATAAGTCGAAGAATGGATTTGTGAAGCACTTGACACCAACAGTACTACAAAAGGAAACAAATTCCACAACTTTCTTGACCAGCAATGAACACAGTGTAACCAGAAGTTCCAAGACCGGCCAGACACAAGATGTCCGGGGCCGATGTTACTTATGTCACTGCAATGCACACGCACACCGAATGCGGCAGTGATTCTACTTCGGTCCTGAAATGAATGCCTCCAGTCAGTACCCGTCGTCTGTTTGATCTATGAGCGTTACTTTTTTCGAGTCCTCCCAACCGGTCATTTCCTTCCGTGCAACTATTACCTACAAATTCCTAATGTCCATCATCCGTCAGTAAAGAAAGCAGCGTGCCACGCCCATCGAATTTTATTTCTCACATAGTCGTAACGATCCTGCATATCAATTATCTGACAGAACGCCAAATAATTTATACAGCCCTGAATCACTACTCCACATATCTTCCTTTCCATTAATTTCTCCCCCACCAGCTTATGCTATTCTAATTTCCTTTATAACCAGTGATGTTCGGGAATCATCAGCAACACGATGAAATTTACTACCCAAAATGCCCTTGACATCCAACCTCCAACTAAAGATTAAGAGGTATATTTACTTCTCGACCAGCATAGACGCAACTGTCAACTTCTTCCAAATCAAGCCTTCTCTTCTACAAAGAGTACCTCGGCACTCAGCATCACCTAAATTTTTGTGTCACTATGTTTGTGCCCAATTCCTTACTCTGTGTGTAGGATTCCTAAAGCATCTCTTCTATTTTGTAAGCGTTGTTCGCATGAGAACAATATCTTCACCAAACGTAAACATTTTAGCTATTCACTAACGACGCTCAAACCACTTTCACAACACAACTTACTGAACTCCACCCTAAGACCGATAATAAAAAGTTTAGGCAATAAAGCACCTAGGTCTTATGTCTTTGCTCAGTGTACGGATTATTTGCAAGGCTGGCTGAACAGCCTGCACTGCCTTCCATAACTGTTTAAACACAATTTCCTTCAATCCCTCATGACGCAGCATTCATGCCAGCACTAACAAGCGAGTTCTGTTAATGAACAGAAATGGTGGCACAATTCCTTTGCTTTCACTCAGCTGAATATATGCCGAATGTTCATAAGGCAGAAAACGTCAAGGACGATTTCTAGAGATTGAAAAGAAGATGAAAGAAGTAAGCGGCAAATGAATATAGAATGTAAAACAGGAAGCACAACTGCTGTATGCATTGTGTTAACACAGAAAACACTAAACCGGAAGCAAGCGATGTTGGAGAGAAGCAAGAAACAGTCATAAAGTCGACAAAAAGTGTAACAAAAAATTAAGAACCCCCCTCC